CGGCCAAAATCCCAATATCGTGCATCCCTAATACAAAGTTTTTTTTGAAAGACTTAACAAATTTTGTTAGTTTATAATTTATTTTTGTGTTTTAGGCTTTGTTTTTTCTTAGTTTGATAGTAAATAAAGCCCTTAGTGTATATTTACAATAACAATAGAGGTATGATACTGCAAATTTGTACAGGGGGTAAACAAGGAAGTAGCCTACTCCATCTAAGCTAGTTAGCACCTCTCAGATAAGTGTGGAAACAATTAAGAAAAATATCCCAGTAAATGTAAAAATAGAAACCATTAGCATAACCAGCAAAATGCTTTATAAAATTCTATTTTAGAAGAGTTTCATAGACCCGTCAAAATCATTTTCATAAGTCTGCAGAGACATTTGTCAGGGTTATTCCTGGCAGTATTTCTGAGGCTTTATAAACTTTACAACAATACTGGAATTATACAGTATCGACAGAGAATGAGAAGTATATTGACAATTTGAAAAAGGGGGAAAAAAAGTTTAAAAAGTTATGCAGGCTGCTCAATTTTAGCGTGATTTTGCGCAGCTCTAGATATCATTTTAAGACAACATAAATATACAAGTCTGATTAAAAGTTTTACAGAAGGTAGATTGGATTATAAAAAAAAAAAAAAAAAATGGTTCTAAAATAATTTGACAACCATGTCTTACTTTTGATTTCTCAGATTCAGATAACTTTATTATTCCTGATGGGCTTTAGTGCAAACATTCAGCTGTAATATGCCTCCACTAAACAAAATAATTAGTAAATTGAATAATAAGCCTCCCAATTGTTAACGGTAGCCTCAGCTTAACAGCTGCATAGCTCAAAGCTTGAAGCAGTGAGAAAATAATCCCAAACAAACCTCAAAACCGGTCTTGGAACAAATGAGGCAGGCCAAAAATAAACCTTTGGAAATTCTATCCTGGGTTCTTCCAGTAAAACCAACTAGTGTTACCAATTCTGCCAGGAAAGGAGGTCATTTATTCAACCAAATTCAAACTAGAAACTTAACTATTTTAACTAAAAGCAAAAGGTCAATGTGAAACTTATGACTGCATGTAAACGTCTGACTGTAGCTGGTTAGGTGGGATTAGGAATGATCATGAGAACTTAAAGCAGGAAAAAAAGGTTGAAGGAGTCTCACCAGCTCGCCCTCACGGCCTCGATGTCGCTCACTAAGTTCTGGGCCAGACAAATCCCAAAAATCTGTGGACGAAAGCGAAGCGTTCACGTTTGATGAAAGGAGAAGTACGTTCCTAAGAAGGCAAGGAAAGAAGCCAACCTGCAACAAAGCCACGCCGATGAAGATCCCCGCCACCAAGGTGAGGTTGTCCTGGAGCCACTTCTCGAACTGGGGGACGCAGCCTTTAACGTTGATGTAGTCCTTCTGCTCCGAGTCCTGTGAACACGTGCGAGTTTTCTTCAGTGTTTTCATCCCACGTTTCTGATCATCTCTCATCGGTAACCACTAAATGCTCTGAAGACATGAACTGTTCTACTGGAGACCAGGAATCCAGCATAACCATCTAACTTACTGGTTTGGCTCTGATGTCGTATCCACACTGGGTGTTGATCACATCCTCCTACAGACAAAAAAATGTAAATGTAAAAACAAAACAATGGAACTAGAGTCAGTTTCGGCGCATGAGTTATTGCACCGGTGCATTGTCAGAAACGGTACCGCTGGGTCCTTGGTGCAGCAGGAGAAAGGAACGCCACACTTTTCCCGACTGGGGTTCCCATCAGTACAGTTAAAGTAGATGTTCAGGTTCCAGTCGTCGGCTCCAAACGCACCGCAGCACTCCCACTACGGTCAGGCAGAGAAGACGAGTTAAAAACTCCAGACATATCGGGTCAAAAATCCTGAAATGACATTTACTGTGTGGCTCCACGTCTCGTTCCAAGTCCCCCGTCACACTGTTGCTTAGAAAACCGACATCGGAATGGTGAAAGGTGCCATGACACCATGCCTCTCAGGCTACACTATGCAGACCCTTTGTCTGTGCCCATGAAAGTCTCCTCTACAACTGTGAGAAAGGGGCGCAAACCAAGGCGCTACTTTCTGATATTTTCTGGTAATAAAAAAACAAAACATTGCGGCTTAAAGGAATAGTACACCCAAAACATGATTAGCCTTAATTTTCTACTCACCCC